TCAAAAGAAAAAAATTTCTCTTGGTCTCTTTCTCCCTCATCCCCTTCTACTTCTAGAGAGTACTCCTCTTTCCTCCACTGCCCCTGTAATTGTTGTTGTATAACCTTATATCCGTCTTAAACGACGACGCACCACTGTTTGTCGGCGACGATGACACCGCTGCCACTTCCTCCACTCTGTTCACGTTTTCTGATGAGCCCCCTCATCCTCCTCCTACTATCCCAACCTAATTATTTCCCAGAAAAATAATTAAAATTTGTCATAAATTATATTAACTAAAATTGTAAAAAAAGAAAGAAAAAAACATACACATACACACAAGATCATATTGGTAAAGGTGGGATTGTATTGGAGTCTCTCACCGTTTTGATGTGAAGGAATGGGCCAAGGGAAGCCATGGTTGCTACTTCTAGGGGCTACAGGAGTGTGGGGGAGAAGATCAAGTTGGATTGGTACATCTGATTTGAAACCACAAGCAGCACTAAACCTACTTCGATCTGGGAGGGGCAGAGGCGGAAGCAAGAGGGCCGATTGATTTTGTGCAAGGTTGTGGTGAGGTTGGAAAGAGAGAGAGAGAGAGAGAGATTTTTTAAAATAATTTAAAAATAATTTTGGGTATGGTTTTTGGGTATTCATGGTGAAGGGAGGGAGGAGGAGGTGGCGGACATGGGTCTGCAAATTTTCCCCTCCAATTCGTCTTCATCATTTGAATTGGCACTGGATTCTTTTGGGCGGTGGCTAGCTTGGTGGGTTTTGGGAGGTGGCTTGGTGGTTCTTTGGGCGATGACGGGAGAGTGGTGGCTGAGAAGTGGGGTTGAGTCGGGAGGGAGAGAGGGTTGGCTGGGTTGGAGAAGAGAGATGAGATTTTTTATTTTTTCATTTTTTTCATTTTTTAATGATTTTTATATGATTTAAAAATTATTTTTAACATGTATACAATTTTTTATTAGTTTTTTTGTCCACGTGAAAGTCCACATCATCAAAAAATGGGTCCCATTTTTGATACGTCAACATTTAACTGAATCACTAACAGTTTGGCTAACGGAGGGAGCAAATTGTAAGGTTTCCGCGACGTTGAGTATGTATTGGTAAATGTCCCCAAAATCAAGTATGAACTCGTAAATGACCCTATAGATTGGGGGGTTTACTGTAGTTTGTCCATAATTATATCACCAACATACAATAATAAGTTAACCATAGAGGTAGAATTCTGTCTAACAAACAGACTAGAATCTGAGTGAGAAGATTGAAACCCCAATGAAGTAGATAACCTGTAAACTTGGCATTCCATGCACGCGGAGCCTGTTTTAAAACATATAGGGATTTCTGTAATTTGCACACATAATCGGGATATGTAGAATCAATAAAGCCTTGAGGTTGTCGCATATAAACCTCTTCTTGTAACTCCCCATGAAGGAAAGCATTTTTACATCCAATAGAACGTAAATCTCATTTTAAACATAGCAGCTAAACTGAGTACTAATCTAACTGTGGTGTGTCCCATTATAGGATTAAAGGTTTCATCATAATCCAAACCATGCTCTTGACTAAATCCTTGTGCTACCAGCCTAGCTTTGTATCTTGAAATTGTTCCATTTGAATTTTTATATATTTTATATATCCACCTACATCCTACAATATTCTTGTTATAATATCATGTTAACTATGGAGAGGATTTGATGAAGTGACGAAGAAAGAGAGAAAAGTAGAGCTCTATATATTCTCAGAAATTGTATTTTTACATAATGAATACTAGGAAGAGAGATTAGTCTCTTTTATATCTAGGCTAAACAATACACGTGAATACAGTCAATGAACACGTGAATATAGTCAACAGAGTCTAACAACTAAGCCACCTCAGCACTGACACGTGGGAATAGTAACATCAGCTAACAGTTCGTTATCCGAATTAATTTCAACCTTGAATGGCGACTGGCATGGCCATTAGGGTGGAAGTAGAATTTGTGCAAGAGATCTAGCAAATGCTTGGCACCGGCAGCAGCAGGCTCTTCTTTTATTGTACAAAAGTTCGAGAACAAAGAAGGGGATCTGGTATTCAAGTAATCGTCCAAGCACTTCTCAAGAACAAAATTGTACTGTATTAGAAGGTCAAGTCAACCTAGGTGAAATAAAAAGTACACTCATAAAAATACTCTATATGCTTGCTTGCACCGGTCTTCAGGGCACTCCCGCGTAGTAGTTTCTCGGCTTTGGAAACCGAGACAGATGACTTAAGCTGTGATTCTGAGCGAGGAGCCGGCAAGGAAGAAGATGGTCACATGCTCACAGCTGTAATTTCATTATACTATAACATCAACGAAGGGATGATTAACAAAGACTAAACTAAAAAACGTCAGAGGTTTTCTTCAACAAAAAAAAAGTCAGAGGTTCCTGATGACGGATTGTGAGTGACATAAGTCTGTGATGAGAAGCATCGTACCCTCTCCAAATAGGCAAAGTAAATTAATTAAGTGATCTCAACTTGCAATAATATATTCTACTTCCTTTCACAATGCGAGAGCCTCCAAATTATTCAGTATTTACGACGACTAGGTATTCATTCACTTAATTTATATTTTATTTGACCCATATCACGTTTCCCTAATTAACTAAAGGGGCATGCGATGTTGGGTGTGTTAAGTAATTGCAGGGGCTGGGGTGGGTTGTGGTTGGTCGGGGAAGATGGTGGCTGGGGTGTCAGCTTGGGTGTTGGATGGCGAGTTCGGCGGAGATTAAGTGGCCAGTGGGTTAGCCGACTGGAAATAGAGAGAGAGAAACAGCCTGAGTTTTAAAAAAAAAATTAAAAACCTTTTTGGTCATTGGGTTTTTCACGAAAATGAAAATTCAATTTGGTCACTGAGATATTTTTTAGCCAAATTAGTCACCGTGTTTCCGAAAGTTTACAATTTATAGACATTTCGTTAAAAACACAATGACTAATTTGGCTAAATTTTTTACTCAATGACCAAATTGAATTTCATGTAAAACCCAGTAACAAAAAATGTATTTAACCTTTAAAAAGACGTGTTATCTTGTTAGCAGGCCAGGTCATCTTCTAAAGAATAATTATTTCTCATAAATCATGAGCCAATTAATTTTCCTTTTTGTCCTTCATGTCATACACATGATCAAAATTGACTATAAAAAGCTAACAAAACAAACGGTTGAACCTTTATTTCTAACGAAAGTGAAGTTTAAGGACCACCGTTATTATTTTGAAAATTGAAAAACTAAAATACTAATCAGGCCAAAATTCATAGACTATTTGACCTATAAATCCTTTTATATTTTGACGACTCTAGTATAGAATTATTTATTTTATTTTTCATGCAAATTACCATAAAGGCTCATTACAACAATCATTAAAGGCACAAAGTTCAGAAGGGCAGGGCACCGGTCACAAGCACCATATAACTTTCAATACAAAAGGTAAACTTATATATGGTAATAGAAAATATGTACTTCTTAGAAAAGAGGCCTTTAATTTATAGTAAATTTAACTTAGACCCATAAAATTCATTTTAAATCACCTATAACCCTTTCCTTTAGTTTTCTATTTAAAATACCCAATTTTTTCAAATAATACCTGATGACTAGGATCCAACTAAGCAAGTTATCTAATACAACTTAAAATCTGATTTATTGTATTTTTTGGATTCCAAATCTACCCCTATTTATGACTTAATGTGTTATTGGGGGGGGGGGGGGGG